CCAGAAGCACCATCCTTCGTTTGATTAGCTGAAAATTTCACCTCATAGCCAAAATTATTGGCATACGAATTTTGTGTGTTTTTTTTTTGAAGCACTTTGAATAAACTTAACCAGTTCTGATGGGGTGCAGCTGATATCCTGTTTAAAATCTGATATCCTGTTTAAAATACAACTTCACACCATAAAAAGTAAAGTACATTCATATAGTAGTTCTACAAAACAGTCAAGGACTACCATTATCAACTTGTGCAGTTTGAGAAAAAAATCAGGTTGAGGTGGGTTTTCATCGATAAGATCGATAGAAGCCTCATTTAGAGAGCAAATTACATTGCAATTTCCTTCAGCAAGAACAATAGAAGTGGAAAGTACAGCATTATTTGGGACCAAAGAATGTAAGTTGTTTTCACCCAAACTATCAGAATAGACCTCCTGCTTTACTGGATCCAGGAAAGGGTGCCTTGTTAAGAATCTAGATTCCTTATGTAAGCTGACATGTGGAGAAAAAAAAACGAAGAAAGAGCAGCGGAACCAGGTGGATGAAATGTATGTATGTTGTGCACTGATTTAACAAGTTGAATTGGAGACAAATCATTGAATCATCATTAATCCGTGAGCAAGGTGCATATATTTGCTAGCGTCACTTTCAATGGAGATTAATACCTAGCTGCAGCTACTTCTAATACATCATTCATTTATAAACTATTTATCTTGGATGCCCCTTTCTTGCCTTTTCCCCATACCTGACAACTCTATTCCAGAATCACTCCTACATAAATCAAGACAACACCTTGACTCTCCTTTACTTTATGACATAATGCAAATCTATTAGGAGGAGAAACTACATGCGTGAATAATAAAATTTTTTTTTTTTGGTGGATGACTAAAAAAATAAATAAAAAAAATAAAAATAAAACAAAACTCAAATCTCATAAATCCTTTCTCTGAATTGGGAAATCTATGATTTAAGGTAATGACTTAACAATAGCAAAAGAATCATCATGAGATTTGAATTAAATCTTGCCCAAAATCAGCTATCAAACAATCAACTAGAGTTTACAGGGTTACCTTGATGGATGAGCGATGAAAAAAACAAAAGAGGCGGAGGGGCCTCGATGCAGGGAGGTTGAAGTGAGTGAAGCTCCTGATCGCAAGAATGAAGAGGAGCGGAGAGGCTTCTGTTGCGCAAGGAAGAAGTGAGGCGGTCGAGAGAACTTCGGTCGCGCGAGAGATGAGCAAGGAGCTTCGGTTCGCACGCGAGGGGGAAGACAGGAGCCGAGCGGGGACTTCGTTCGATGCAGAGGAAGGAGAGACGAGAGGGAGAGCTGAATTGCAGGAGCGGGAGATTGGTATCGGAGCCGAATCGAGTGAATCAGGGAAGAAGATGGCGAGCTGATGGGGTTCGGTCTCCGGTCGAATGAGATGACGAAGGCTCTGTTCACAGAGGAGGCGCGACTTTGTCGTGTGGAGTAAGGGGCGTGCGGGATCGAACGGAGCGGGTGTCAAACGATGTTTCTGTCGAGCGAGGGGGAGTCTTCAGTCGAGTGCGAGCAGGGAGGCGAGGGTCTCTGTCGAGCGAGATCGAGCAGAAGCCGGAGGAGCAGGCGTTCGGGGAAGGCAAAGGAAGAAGACTACGAAGGAAGGAGCGATCCCTTTTAGAATTGGAGCGGGGTCAATAGCCGTTGCTCTAAGTAATTGGCGGGGAAATTGATGAATGCCAAATACAGGGGAGATTAAATGGAAAACATTATGACCTGAATTAATTTTAATTAAGGCAGAATTTAAATAATTTATTTGAATTTTGAAATTTGAATTTCAAATTCAGGTGAGTTGGTGCCTAGCCCGTGTTCAGCCCGAGTCCAACCTGAATCAAACCCGAGTCGAACCTGGGCTGAGCCCGGGCCCGCGCACTGCTAAAAAGGTGCATCGATATCCGTGTTAGATGCTCGTGCGCGAAACTATAGAGACATGGGTGTCCCTCCTAGCTAAAGTCGACGTTCCGGACGCGTCGCCGCGGGCCGTTTCGTCTTCCGGGGGCGTTCCGGTGTCGTCGAGACGAGTTTGCAGACCGGCGAGTAAATTTAAGTCAAAATCGTGTGTGGTGCAGTGAGTGTGCAAAATGCGGCGTTATCGAGCGTTCGAGTTACGAAGGTGTTCCCTAGTGGCTGCTCCTATTAATGTAGGAACTCGACTCGAGTTTCATGTGTCGATCCT